TATAAAATTAAATATATAATTGGAGAGAGAGAGAATTAAGGTTGCAAAGAGGCGGAAAGAGAGAATAGAATAGAATAGAATTAAGATCAAAGTGGAATGGAATAGAATTAAGATCAAAACAGAATTGAATCACAAGCTTGTGAATTTAAATTGAATCTAATTACATTTTTGTCAATACCCAGCCCCACTGATTATGTTAATCGATCTACTTCCTAACTAATCTTAACCTAGTCTGTTCTGCAGTGATCTCTCTTCTGACCGGGCGCCTGTGACATAAGGCAAAGGGCAATAGTCACAAACATAAGTCAAATAACCTGACTTGCCTTGGTAGCTTCCACCAGCAATACCCTCCACGAATCACTTGCTCCCTGACCAGCAGTTACAAGAAAAAAGACAAAACGTTTTAGACCAGAGAATCTTTAATTCACACCCTCAACATACGCTCATCCACTTCTCTATGAGTCACTTGCCCTCCTCAGTACCTGTCTGACGTCAGGGCTATTCCTTCCAAGAATTCATGACGGCTGGTCTCACTGAGTCGCTCCTGAAGGATCTGGATCCCTTCCTTGACATCGCGGAGCTGCTGGCTGTAGCGCTGGATCTTGTGCTCGATATCAGAAAGCGTGCGCGCCGTATCTGCCTCCAGCTCCTCAAGCATGCTCTTCTGCCGTTCCCGCAGGAAGCGGTGCAGTCGCTCAAATGCATCGCCGATTGTGGCACGAAGGCTCTTCGCTGATGACTATGAGTTAGAGAAGAGAAAGTTAAGATTTTTGTTAGGCTAGGCTCAGTTAAAAGACTAAGAGATTCACAGTCTCAAATAACAAGCCTTCACCACCCACTGTGCATACTCTAACCGAGATGTCAATCTAGCATGTTTGTTTTAGACCAAGTCTTTACTTTAAGGCAAATAGGGAGCATAAAAAAGTATTTTTTTCATATTCAGCAAGGATTCAGCAAATTGACCAAAACTGACATTAAAAGACATTTATAAAGTTACAAAAGATTTAAACTTCAAATAAATGCTTTTAAACGTTATATTCAAAGGATCCTGAAAATGTTTTATCAGTTTACACAAAAATATAAAGCAGCACAACTTTTTTCAACACTGATAATAATCAGAAATGTTT